CCGCCTCCTGGGTTCAGGCAATTCTCCTGCCTCAGCCTCCTGAGTAGCTGGGATTACAGGCACGCACCACCATGCCCAGCTAATTTTTTGTATTTTTAGTAGAGTCGGGGTTTCACCATGTTGACCAGGATGGTCTCGATCTCTTGACCTCGTGATCCACCCGCCTCAGCCTCCCAAAGTGCTGGGATTACAGGCTTGAGCCACCGCGCCCTGCCCTTTAATTTCAAAGAACAAATTATGCCTCTCATTTATTTGCCTGAGACAGGGTCTAGCTCTGTCACCCAAGCTGGAGCACAATGGGGAAATCAGGAATCACTGCACCATCGAATTCCCTGGTTCGAGCCATCCTCCCACTTGAGCAACCTGAGTAGCTGGGACCACAGGTGTGCACCACCACACGTGGCCAATTTTTTTTTTTTTTTTAATTTTTAGCAGAGAGGAGGTCCCCCTGTTGCCCAGGCTAGTCTTGAAACCCTAGGCTCACGGGAACCACCGTCCTCAGCCTCTGACAGCACTGGAATTTCAGGCCTGAGCCACTGCATCTGATTGTATCATATATTTAATGTTTCTCCTTGTTTCAATTTTAGCAGAATTTGTATTCCTCTCATAGAGGCTCTTTTCAAAAAGTCTTGTCTTATCCTTCTGAGTGCCTCAAACTATAGCCTGTTCATACATGTTATAACAAGTTTGTACTAGTCTGTTTTGGTGCAAAAAGTGTGAAATTCACGCACAAATTGTTCATAATATGTATTTTTCCATGAACTTCTTGAAGATCCTTGTACTAGCAAACTGTATTCAAGGGAATATAAAAATGAATTGTACATATTCAAGTTCTACTTATTCATGGGATGCAAGGATGGTTCAATGTACTCAAATCAATGTGATATACCATTTGCACAGAATGACAGATAAAAACCACATTATCTCAATAGATCAAGAAAAATCATTTAACAATATTCAACATTCATCCTTCATAAAAATCCTAAGCAAAATAGGTAGATAAGAAATTTACCTCAAAAATATAAAGACCATCCATGAAATGATCACAGTGAATTAACCAACAAGGGAAAATGAAATGCTTTTTCTATTGAATCTCACATGATTCAAGAATGCTGTCATCCCTTCTATTCAAGAAATACTGGCTGTCCTAGCCAGAGCAATTAAATAGCAAAAAAATGAAACTCATCCAAATCAGAAGGAAGTAAAATTATATTTGTCAGGGCCAGGCGAGGTGACTCACACCTGTAATCTCAGCACTTTGGGAGGCCGAGGCAGGTGGACCACGAGGCTAGGAGATTGAAGACCATCCTAGCCAACATGGTGAAACCCTGTCTACTCAAATACTAAAAAAAAAAAAAAAAAAAATTAGTTGTGTGTGGTGGCTCGAGCCTGTAGTCCCAGCTACTCATATATATGTGTATGTATAGGTATATATATATATATGTATGTATATATGTGTATATATTTATATATACACCTATACATACACATATATACGTATATATACACCTATACATACATATATATGTGTATATATATACACACACATCTATATATACACACATATATGTATATATGTGTGTGTGTGTTTTTTTCTTTGGCAGATAACATGACTTTCTTTTTTTTTTTTTTTTGAGACGGAGTGTCACTCTTGTTACCCAGGCCGGAGTGCAATGGCGCGATCTCGGCTCACCGCAACCTCCGCCTCCTGGGTTCAGGCAGTTCTCCTGCCTCAGCCTCCTGAGTAGCTGGGATTACAGGCACGCGCCACCATGCCCAGCTAATTTTTTGTATTTTTAGTAGAGACGGGGTTTCACCATGTTGACCAGGATGGTCTCGATCTCTCAACCTCGTGATCCACCTGCCTCGGCCTCCCAAAGTGCTGGGATTACAGGCTTGAGCCACCGCGCCCGGCCGATAACATGACTTTCTATGTAGAAAATCACTCGCTGGGCACAGTGGCTTACCCTTGTAATCCCAGCATTATGGGAGGCTAAAATGGGAGGGTCACCTGAAGATAGGAGTTCAAAACCAACATGGTCAACATGGTAAAACCCCATCTCTACTAAAAATACAAAAAAAGTAGAAGGCATGGTGGGGGTTACTTATAATTCCAGTTACTCAGGAAGCTGAGGTAGGAGAAACACTTAACTCAGGAGGCGGAGGTTGCAGTGAGCCAAGCTCACACGATGGCACTCCAGCTCGAGCAACAAGAGTGACACTGCCTCTCAAAAAAAAAAAAAAGAAAAAGAAAAAAAAAAAGAAAACAAAAAAGAAAATCACAAAGAATCAACCAAAATATTATTGGTACAATAAACATAGTGTAATTGCAGAATACAAAGTTAGCACTTAAAATTAGCTGAATTTCCATAAAACAATACAATTTTAAATGAAAATTAAAAACACACTTCTATTTGCTAGAGAACTTAAAGAAATACTTAGTAAATGTAAAAAGGTGAGAAGTTTGTACCATGAAATCTACAAACATTGATCAAAATGATTAAAAACACATATAGAGATACAACCTATATTGATGGATTGGAGAAATATTATTAAATGACTATAAAACCCAATGTGATTTAGAGTCAACACAATACCCATAAAAATCTCTATCAGTTTTCTAAAGAAACAAAAACAGGCGGGGAAAAGTGGCTTACATCTGTTGCCCAGGCTAGGCTCAAACTAAACTCAAGTGATCTACCTGTCTTTGCCTCCCAAAGTGCTAAGAATACAGACGTGAGCCACCCCACCCAGCCCAATCCTCTTAACATAAACGCTTTAATATCAATTAATGCTTGAACTCAATGTTAAGTCAACTCAAACTCAAGTCAATGCAGAATTGACTCTAATGTCAATTAATGCTTGATGGTTTGCTATACTCATCGCATCTTAGAACATTATCTCAAAAATGAATTTTTCAATGTTCTGCAAGGAGTGACCTCTGTCTGAAGACCTTGTGACACTTAAGACAATTGTATGATTTCTGTCCAGTATGGATTCTCTAATATCTCATAAGGTGTGAACATGAAGTGAAGGCTTTGCCCCAATTATCACACTTGTGAGGTTTCTCTTCTGTATGAATTTTTCTGTTTTGCATAAGATGAAAATTGACTGAAGACCTTGCCACAGTTATGACATTTGTAAGGGTTCTCTCGAGTATGGGTTCGCCAATGAACTGAAAGTTATGAACAATGTCTAAAAAATTTGCCAAATTGATGATGCTTGCAAGAATCCATGCATTATGGATTCTCCAATGATTTGCATTGGAGAATGCAAATTGGTTGTAGTGTTACTGTAGACTTGGTGACAATCATTGCATTAGTAAAGTTTCCCTATACCGTTGATTGCTTCATGGTGATTAAGTGCTGACTGACCACTAACGGCGTTGTCACATTAACTAAGCTTCTAAGGTTTCTCTCTAGTGTGAATTTTAGTATGTTGTGCCAGGTGTGAATCACGCCCAAAAGCCTTGTCACAAACCCTACATTTGTAAGGTTTCACTCCAGTATGAATTTTTCTGTGTCTTTCAAGGTTTGATTTGCGACTGAAAGCTTTGTCACATTCTTCACATTTGTAAGGTTTCTCTCCAGTATGAATTCTCCTATGTCTTTTAAGACTTGATTTGCGACTGTAAACTTTGTTGCATTCTTCACATTTGTAAGGTTTCTCTCCAGTATGAAGTCTATGATGACGTACAAGGTGTGCTTGTTGATTAAAAACCTTGCCACATTCATTACACATGTAAGGTTTCTCTCCAGTATGAAGTCTATGATGACGTGCAAGGTTTGCTTGTTGATTAAAAACCTTGCCACATTCATTACACTTGTAAGGTTTCTCTCCAGTATGTACTGCCTTATGAATTATAAGGGCTGAATTGTGACGGAAGGTCTTGCCACACTCATGACACTTGTAAGGTTTCTCTCCAGTATGAAGTCTATAGTGGCACACAAGAGATGACATCTGACTGAAGGTCTTGCCACACTCATTACACTTGTAAGGTTTCTCTCCAGTATGAATTCTACGATGACAAGCAAGGTTTGCTTGTTGATTAAAAACCTTGCCACATTCATTACACTTGTAAGGTTTTTCTCCAGTATGAATTGCCTTATGAATTACAAGGGCTGAATTATGACGGAAGGTCTTGCCACACTCATTACACCTGTAAGGTTTCTCTCCAGTACGAACTCTATGATGGCATGTAAGGGATGACTTCTGACTGAAGGTTTTGCCACACTCATTACACTTGTAAGGTTTCTCTCCAGTATGAAGTCTACGATGGCATATAAGAGATGACATCTGACTGAAGGTCTTGCCACATTCATTACACTTGTAAGGTTTCTCTCCAGTATGAATTCTTCTGTGTCTTTCAAGGTTTGATTTGCAACTAAAAACTGCATCACATTCTTCACATTTGTAAGGTCTCTCTCCAGTATGAGTTCGCCGATGAACTGCAAGGTATGAACAATGTCTGAAAAATTTGCCACATTTATTACACTTGTAAGATCTTTCTTTATTATGGATTCTCCAATGCCTTGCAATGGTTGTAGCGTTACTGAAGACGTGATGACAGTCATTACATTTGTAAAGTTTCCCTATACCATGGGTTGACTGATGGTAAGTAAGTGTTGACTGCCCACGAAAGGCTTTGCCACACTCATTACACTTATAAGGTTTCTCTCCAGTGTGAATTCTAGTATGTTGTGTCAGGTGTGAATCACGCCCAAAAGCCTTGTCACAAACATTACATTTGTATGGTTTCTCTCCCGTATGAATTATTTTATGTTTTTCAAGGTCTGATTTGCGACTAAAAACTTTGTCACATTCTTCACATTTGTAAAGTTTCTCTCCAGTATGAAGTCTACAATGGTATACAAAAGATGATTTCTGACTGAAGGTTTTGCCACACTCCTTACACTTGTAAGGTTTCTTTCCAGTATGAATTGCCATATGAATTACAAGGGCTGAATTTCGACCAAAGGTCTTGCCACACTCATTACACTTGTAAGGTTTCTCTCCAGTATGAAGTCTACAATGGCGTGTAAGGGTTGACTTCTGACTGAAGATCTTGCCACACTCATTACACTTGTAAGATTTCTCACCAGTGTGACATCTGTGATGGCATGCAAGGTATCGCTTCTGATTAAAGACCTTGCCACATACATCACATTCATATTGTTTCTCTTCTAAATGAATTTTCTGATGTTTCCTCAAGAAAGAGCTACAGTTAAAGGCTTTTTTCTCATTACGTTGGAAAGATACTTCTCTGTGACCCTCCTGTTTTTGTGTGAGTAATGAAGAATGGAGGAAATTGTTGTCATAGTTATTAGAAATATGGGTTTGGGGCTTACAAGAAATTATTTTGGATGTTGAAACTGAGAAGACATCATTGATAGATTTCTCAACTTGATTACCAAATTTCCCTTCCATCTGAAATATGTGCAGTTCAGGCAAATGCGAATGAAAGCTTAATCCAAGTTGATCTTTAATAGGCTTGTTGCCAGCATGCCTTTGATCACATTGGTCTGTACCACAAGGAAACTTTTCAATTTTTCTCATGAGTGCCTCATGGCTATTTCTAACCTCAAAATCATGAATATCTTTTGCAATTTCCTGGAAGCAAAAATCTCCAATGTGATGCCTTTCATGTCTATCTAATATCCCTGCGTGGAACACTTCTGTATCGCCTTGTGCTGTTGACAAGAGCTCCTTCATCTTGTATTTGGGAGAGATATCTACAAAATATAAACACAAATAGGTTTCCAATTAAATACAAATGGTAAATAATACTAAAATGTATAAATATGACACACAAAGAGGAACACAAAACAAGTGAGACTCTTCAATAAATAAAGGGTGATTACATGGACTTCAAGCCATGTCTACTGAAGCCTATTTCCAGTATCATGACAAAACACTGATGGGACAAACGTGTAAGCCTAAAGGAGGAAGTATTTTTCCACAGTGACCCTAAAGTGTATAACGCTTTGCAAAAAATATGTACTGTCACCTCAATGAAGAGAAAAATATATATTCTTTTTTTTTTTTTGAGACGGAGTCTCACTCTGTCACCCAGGCTAGAGTGCAATGGCACGATCTCGGCTCACTGCAACCTCCGCCTCCCAGGTTCAAAGAATTCTCCTGCCCCAGCCTCCTGAGTAGCTGGGATTACAGGCATGTGCCACCGCGCCCAGCTAATTTTTGTATTTTCAGTAGAGATGGGGTTTCAACATTTTGGCCAGGCTGGTCTCGAACTCCTGACCTTGTGATCCACCCGCCTCGGCCTCCCAAAGTGCTGGGATTACAGGCATGAGCCACCGCGCCCGGCCGAAAATATATATTCTTAATATTTATAGCGTATTTACTGTATACAAATGAATGCTAAAGAACCACACATACTATATTGATAAATAACCACAATGAGCTCATGTAAAGATAACCAAAATCCAGTGGAAATTCTGTATTGTCAAATAATCATAGCACTGCAATGGCGCGATACTGGCTCACTGCAACTTCTGCCTCCCGAGTTCAAGCGACTCTCCTGCCTCAGTCTCTTGACTACCTGGGATTGGAGGCACCCACAACCACACTCAGCTAATTTTTGTATTTTTAGTAGAGATGGAGTTTCATCATGTTAGCCAGGCTAGTTCTGAACTCCTGACCTCAGGTCATCGGCCTGCCTCTGCCTCCCAAAGTGCTGAGATTATAGGCATGAGCAACTCCACCAGGCCAGGTTATGGAAATTTTAAGTTTCATTATTATACTATAACTTCCACCAAATATCTATATAACACACTTCAGTTCTTCATAATGAAAGGAATGGACACTAACATGATTGCTATATTCACAGTGTAATCATGCTTAACCCACTTACATGTTTAATAAAAGCTAAAAGACAAACTATTTTAAATAATAACAATGGCTGGGCACAGAGGCTCATGCTTGTCATCCCAGCACTTTGGGAATCTGAGGAAGGTGGGTCACTTGAGATCAGGAGTTCGAGTCCAGCCTCACCAACATGGTGTAACCTCATCTCTACTAAAAACATAAAAATGCCGGGCGCGGTGACTCAAGCCTGTAATCCCAGCACTTTGGGAGGCCGAGGCGGGTGGATCACGAGGTTGAGAGATCGAGACCATCCTGGTCAACATGGTGAAACCCCGTCTCTACTAAAAATACAAAAAATTAGCTGGGCATGGTGGCGCGTGCCTGTAATCCCAGCTACTCAGGAGGCTGAGGCAGGAGAACTGCCTGAACCTAGGAGGCGGAGGTTGCGGTGAGCCGAGATGGCGCCATTGCACTCCAGCCTGGGTAACAAGAGTGAAACTCTGTCTCAAAAAAACAAACAAACAAACAAACAAAAAACATAAAAATTAGCTGGGGGAAGGGGATGGGCACCTGTAGTTTCAGCTACTCAGGAAGCTGGGGCATAAGAACCATGTGAGCCTGGCAGGCAGAGGCTGTGGTTAGCCATGATTGCACCACTGCACTCAGCCTGAGTGAAAGAGGAGACTCCATCTCAAAGACAAATAAACAAAACAAAATAAAAACATAAATGAGAAGGGAATCAAAGCATGTCTACACAAAAAAGCAATGAAACACAAAAAGCAGTATATGAGGAAGAACAAAAAAAAAACCTACAAGAATTACAGAAAGGCAACGGTAAGGTCTTCTCCATCAGTAATACTTCAAATGTAAATACTTAACTCTGCACTCAAAAGAAAAAGACTGGCTGAATCAACAGGAGCCAACTACCTGTTGTCCACAGAAGACTCATATTAGCCCTATGGACACACATATGCTACAATTTGAAAAATAAAAACCAACAGTTAAGTATGGGGGTTGAGGCCTGTCATCGCAGGTACTCAGGAGGCTGAGGAGGATCTCTTGAGCCCAGGAGATCATGACCAAGTTCAACAACACGGCAAGACACTGTGTCTACAAAAAAAAACCTAAAACATTAGCCTGCCATGGTGGCATGCACCTGTACCAGCTACCCAGGGAGGCTGAGGTAGGACAATCACTTGAGCCCAGGAATTCAAGGTTGCAGTGAGCCACGATGACACCATTGCACTCCACCCTGGGTGACAGAGCAAGACACTGTATCTAAAAAATTTTTTAACAGAAAATAACACAAAAGATAAAACATAATATCCTAAGCAATTGTCATCCAGAGAGAGCAGAGCTGGCAAAACTAAAATATGTTTTAACTCAAAACTATTTTATTGGAGGCAAGAAAGGACATTATATCATGATAATAGGGTCAATTCACCATTAATATACAAGAACTAGAGATACATAAGCATGAATATCAGAACTCCATATTTAAAGCCAATGTTTACAGAATCAAATAAATTGCTCCACTGTAATACTAGTTGATTTCAACATACGACTTTCAATAATGGAAAAAAACAACAAGAGAGCCGACCAATAAAAAAGTAGAGAGAGGCTGGGTGCGTGGCTCATGCCTGTAATCCCAGCACTATGGAAGGCTTAAGCTTGTGGATCACTTCAGGTCAGAAGTTTGAGACCAGCCTGGCCAACAGAGTAAAACTCCATCTCTACTAAAAACACAAAAATTAGCTGGGCGTGGTGGTATACACCTGTAATCGCACGTAGGAGGCTGAGGCAGGAGAATGACTTGAACCCAGTGGGTAGAGGCTGCAGTGAGCTGAGATTGCACCACTGCACACCAGTCTGAGTGACAGAACGAGACTCCATCACACACAAAAAAGAAACTGATTATTAAATCAGTAAAATCCAAAAGCATCTGTAATATATAGAAATGTATAAAATGGGCCGGGCGTGGTGGTTCACGCCTGTAATCCAAGCACTTTGGAGGCCAAGGTGGGCGGATCACCTGAGGTCAGGAGTTCAAGATCAGCCTGACCAACATGGTGAAACCCCGTCTTAAAAAACAAACAAACAAAAAATGTATAAGATGAAAGTAGCAGTGGCTTAAACAAGTAACAGTGAACTTCAAACCAGAGGCATCTTTCCAGTGAGCTATACTTCCAAGAGGACCTGAGGATGCAATATACGGTCTTTCTGTTGACTCTCTTTCCCACCCGGCTGAGTAGCCATCTCAGAAAAATCTACCCACTCCTCTGTAACACACACTAGTAGCGTGGGTGAAGCATAACTGAAGAATGGCTGAGGAACCTTGTGACATAAGAAGAAACGCATATACTGGTCTCTTCCCCGGTTCCTGACACAGAGTTCCGAAGACCTTGGGATGTCCCCGGTGATGGGAAGGTGATTTATCCTAATGAGGAAACCTCTAAGGTCTCCTGGATGGGGCTCAGCTCCAGCAAGATCAGGCCAGGCTTAGAAACATGGAACAGTCACTTCCATCCACTATCCTCCAGGAAGGGGAGAGGGGCTGGAGGCTGAGTTAATATCATCATGACTACGTGGTGAAGCCTCCATGCAAATCCCTAAATTATGGGGAAATGAGAGCTTCCAAATGCTGAACACGGGCAGATGCCTGGGGCACGGCACACCCGTGAATCTCCCCACAGTCCTTGTGTAGAGCACAGCTCACTGCAAAGACGCCTCTGGTTTTAAGTTCACGGTTATTTGTTTAAGCTACTTCTACGTTCATCCAGTACATTTTTATATATTACACATGATCTTGGATTTTATTGATTTAATAATCATTTTTCTAATTTTTTTTTTTATTGAGACGGAGTTTTCCTCTGTCACCAGGCTGGAGTGCAGTGGCATGATACTGGCTCACTGCAACCTTCACCTCCCAGGTTCAAGTGATTCTCCCACCTGAGCCTCCAGAGTAGCTGGGACTACAGGTGTGTGGCATCACGCCCAGCTAGTTTTTGTATTTTTAGTAGAGACAGGGTTTCACGCTGTTGGCCAGGCTGGTCTCAAACACCTGACCTCATGATTCACCTGGCCTCCCAACATGCTGGGATTACAAGCATAAGCCACTGAGCACGACTCATTTTCCTATTTTTTATGATGGTCTTTGTGTTCTTTGTTTTATATCAATAATGTGTGGAACTGTTATATCAGAGAATGACTATTCATTTTGAATTTAGTGCTTCACTCTGTGAATCTTCTCATCTGGCTGTCCCTCTGTGTCCTGTGAAACATTCTTTATCATGAACCTAAGAAGGTGTTTCACTGAGTTTTGTGAGCCACCCTAGCAAAGCAATCAAACCCAGCTGGGCGTGGTGGCTCATGCCTGTAATCCAAGCACTTTGGAGGCCAAGGCGGGCGGATCACCTGAGGTCAGGAGTTCAAGAGCAGCCTGACCAACATGGTGAAACCCTGTCTTTATGTAAAAATACATATATTAAAAAAAAACAAAAAAAGAAAGCAATCAAACCCAAGAAAGGGGTTGAGGGAACCCAACTCACAGCTGGTTGGTCAGAGGAACATGTGACAATTTACACTTGCAACTGGCATCTGAGGTCGGGGGCTGCCCTTGCCGGCCTGGGAACTCAACCCTTCACCTGTGAGATCTGACTCTAACTCCAGGTAGACAGTGTCAGAAGTGAATTAAACCACAAGAAATTCAGTTTGTGTCCATTCAAGATTTGGATGTGGTTGGGAAGAAATCCACTTATGTTGGTGATCAGAATTGAGGCACTCTGTGCAAGGTGGCATGTGAGAGTAGGAAAAGCATTTCTGATTTTTTTTGTGTGTGTGGGGGGGACAGAGTCTTGCTCTGTTATCCGGGCTGGAATGCAGGGGTGAAATTTTAGCTCACTGCAACCTCCGGCTCTCAGGTTCAAGAGATTCTCCTGCCTCAGTCTCCCAAGTAGCTGGAATTAAAGGCACACACCATCACACCCAGCTACTTTTTGCATTTTCAGTAGGGATGGGGTTTCACCATGTTGGCCAGGCTGGTCTCAAACTCCTGACCTAAAGTGATCTGCCCTCCTCAGCCTCTCAAAGTGCTGGGATGACAGGCATGAGCCACTGTATGTGGCCTTTTTTTTTTTTTGTCCAAATAGACAAGTAGATGATTTAAACAAGCAGAGAAAGCTCTAGGCATTGGTATAGGCCCCAGATGCAAAAATGGAAGAGCCCATGTTTCCCATCTCCTGATTGTGTGTTGCGAGTACAGAAAATGGGATGGAATCTGAATAGGTCAAGGGGCAGGTGTATGGAGGCCTCAGCTCTGAGCTATAGGGACAGAGAATGGAGCATCAGATGGAATCAAGTACAGAGGAGACCACAAGGGGAAGAGACCCTTTGACAGCCCTCCCTGTGCCACAGAGGCAAGAAACCAAAGAGGTCACAGGAGCCAGATGACATGGATAAAGACTCTGCCTTTGTCTCTGAGCTGCAGCATCACTAGAACGCCCAAAAATCAAACTACTGCACATCGAAAGAGAGAGGGGCTGGGCGCAGTGGCTCACACCTGTAATCCCAGCACCGTGGGAGGTCCAGGTGGGCAGATCACCTGAGGTCAGGAGTTCGAGACCAGCCTGGCCAACATAGTGAAACCTTGTCTCTGCTAAAAATACAAAAATTAGCCAGGTGTGGCGGTAGTGCACACCTGTAGTCCCAGCTACCTGAAAGACTTAGGCAGGAGAATCATGTGAACCCAGGCAGCAGAGGTTGCAGTAAACTATTGTGCCACTGCACTCCAGCCTAGGGAAAAGAGCAAGACGTCATCTCAAAAATAAATAAATAAATAGCAAACAGAAGGACAAGTGGGGACAAAGAAAGATGTCCATTCAGAGATCTCAGAATTTAAGCTTTCCTTTTCCCACAGAATTCTCCCGCTTGCAGAGAGTTTCCTCACTATTTATTTATGTATTTCGTATATTTATTTATTATTATTATACTTTAAACTCTGGGGTATATGTGCAGAACAAGCAGGTTTGTTACAAAGGTAACAAAGGTAACGTGCCATAGTGCTTTGCTGCATCTATCACCCCGTCATCTACATTAGGTATTTCTCCTAATGCTATCCCTCCCCTAGTCCCCCACCCCCTGCTATCCCTCCCCTAATGTGTGGTTTCCCTCCCTGTCTCCATGTGTTCTCACTGTCCAACACTCACTTATGAATGAGAACATGCAGAGTTTGATTTTCTGTTCCTGTGTCAGTTTGCTGAAAATGATGGTTTCCAGCTTTATCCAGGTCCCTGCAAAGGACATGAACTCATCCTTTTTTATGGCCACACATCCCCACACACTATTTGAAGGTGTAGCTTCCACTCTGCCCATCTGAGCTCCCACTGTGTTTACACCTGCAATACATCCCACCCATCTAGATTTTTCTGCTATTTTTACTTGACTCTCCACAGTCCAGGGCTCTTTCCCCGGCTTCGTCATTGAGACGACAGGTCAGAAAGAGAATCCTGCTTGTAAAAAAAAAAAAAAAAAAAGAAACATGATGCGCTGGAGCTTTTCTAGCATCGCAGCCCTATGTTTCATTGGGAAAGAAGACATTCCAGATGGATCGAGGAAAATATTTCCCACTCCTCCACTGACTGCCTCCTTAGGAATGCTTAGAGAGCATTGTAATATGTGGAAATCAAGCTTCTTTCTAGGAACTACTGAATAAAAAGCACAGGAGTAACACACAGGGAACTGGATATCTTTAAAGTCTGCCAGAAGGTTTTGTTTTTGTTTTTTTGAGACAGAGTCTTGCTCTGTAGCTTGGGCTGGAGTGCAGTGGCGTGATCTAGTCTCACTGCAACCTTTGCCTAAGAGGTTCAAGCGATTCTGCTTCCTCACCCTTTCTAGTATCTCGAATTACTGGAGGGCACGACCATGCCTGGCTAATTTTTGCATTTTTGGTAGAGACAGAGTTTCACCATGTTGGCCAGGCTGGTCTTGAACTCCTGAACTGAAGCGATCCACAAGCCTCAGCCTCCCAGAGTGCTGGGATTACAGGCATGAGTCACTGCACCTGGCTTGCCATCAGCTTTTTGCCTACTTTATTTCTGGAAGCCCCCGTGAGGTATGATGAAGAATGCACAACATCTAAACAGAGGGGACAGCTAAAGTCCAGATGCTGCATCATGAAGCTTTTCATTTCAAAATCAATACAGCTTCCATTTTAGTCAAGCAAGGACCCGGCTCCCAAGAGGCAACAAGAGAAAATACAAAGATAAGCAACAGCACATCCCTACTTCTGGAGGGAAGTTGTCCTCACCCAGGGAAACCAGGTTCCTGTAGTTCTCCAACATCACGTCCCTGTATAAAGTCCTCTGAGCAGGGTCCAGGCATCTCCACTCCTCCGGAGAGAATTCTATGGTCACATCCCTGAATGTCAATGGACCCTGAAATAAAAACATATTTTAACCACATGGTTATGGGAGGCGTTCTTATCTTTACAGAGAATGAGAAGAGGAGAGAGGTGGAAGCACGGATTTAATTGTACGGAATGTTCTGACAAATGGAGAAAGGGATTTTTCACCACATTATGTCTTCCCAGTTGTGTTTATTACTCCTTTTGAAGAGGTCATGATTCCCTCATGGTATGGATTTCTTGTGTTTGTGGATAATACAAGAAATACACACAACAGCTATTAAATGTGTTCAAAGAAAAAAAAAGAAATACACAAACCAAAAAATCAATGCAGCTTTCTCGCTATGAAAATGTTTGAAATTTGCCAGGCGCGGTGGCTCACGCCTGTA